AGGGTCACTATGAGTTGGAATTGACTCGATGGCAATTTTTTTTTTTAAATGACTAATAAGGAGCCGTGGTGGTGCAGTGGTTAAAGCACTTGACTGCTAACTGAGAGGTAAGTGGGTGGAACCCACCAGCCACTCTGCAGGAGAAAGATTTGGCAGTCTGCTCCTGTAAAGAAAGATTACAGCCTTGGAAACCCCGGGACAGTTCTCGTCTGTCCTGTAGGGTTGCTATGAGTTGGAATCGACTCGCTGGCAACAGGTTTGGAATGACTAATGAGGCCGAGCATCTTTTTATGTTCTTGTTGGCTGTTTGTATATCTCTGGAGAAATGTCTGTTCAAGCCCTTTCCCTGTTTTTATTGGGTTGTCTTTTTGCTGTTGAGTTTTAAGAGTTCTTTATATATTTTGGATATCAAACCCTTATCAGTATGTAAGTTGCAAATATTTTCTCCCATTCTGTAGGTTGTCTTTTCACTTTCTTATTAATAAGCTTTGATGCACAGAACTTTTAAGATTTTGATGAAGTCTGATTTATTTTTCTTGTGTTGCTTGTGATTTTGGTGTCTGATCTAAGGATCCATTGCCAAGTCTGATGCTTTATCCTTATATTTTCCTCTAGCAGCTTGATAGTTTTAGCTCTTATATTTAGGTCGTTGATCCATTTTGTGGGAAAACTTTTGTTGATGTGTAACGTAGACACAGAACACACGCAGAGAAAGTACACCATAGTGGGCAGCTGATAAATTCCCATGCACGGGCTCACCACATCCAGCACCCTGATCCAGGAACAGACCTACCCAGCCCTCAGACCTCCTCAGGCCCCGTCTGGTCACTTACCCCAAGGCTGGCCCCTTCCCAACTCTGAAGCGTGGATTTCGAGCTTGGGAAGAGTGTAGGCTGCACTTGCAGGCTGGCTTCTCCTCTGTCTGAGGTGGTGGGGCTCTTCCTTGTTGTTTGTAGGGGGCGAGGGGGATGGGCCAGGTGAGGGTGGGGCCCACACCCCGGGGTCGAGGGCTGCCACACACTTGAGAGACCACAGGACGGGACTTCATGACACGGACTGAAGCTCAGCTGCCTGGGCCCCGACCTGGCCCCCACCTCCCAGCTGTGCACTTCTTGTCTCTTGTGAAAAGTAAGGTCAAAAAAACCTCGCTGCTGCCCAGTGGATCCTGACTCACGGTGGCCCCAGGTGCTGCAGAGCAGAACTGCTCCATGGGGTTTACTTGGCGGTCATCTTAACAGAAGCTGATTGCCACGTCTTTCTTCCGCAGAGCTGCTGAGTGGGTTTAAACCACCAACCTTTTGGTTAGTAGTCGATCGCAAACTACCTGTGACACCCAGGGACCGTACACACACACACACACACACACGAACAGACACACGCACAAACACACACACACACGAACAGACACACACACACGAACAGACACACACACACGAACAGACACAAATGCACACAAACACACACGCTAACACACGAACAGACACACACACACGAACAGACACACACACACGAACAGACACATGCACACAAACACACACGCTAACACACAGACACACACACGAACAGACACACACACATGAACCGACACAGACACACACGAACAGACACACACACACGAACAGACACAAATGCACACAACCACACATGCTAACACACGAACAGACACACACACAGAAACAGACACACACACACACGAACAGACATAAATGCACACAACCACACACGCTAACACATGCAAACACACATGCAGAAACACGCACACACACACACACAACACACATACAAAACACACACACACACACATCAGACAGTAAACGCTGCCCCCCAGTAACCAGTTACCCAGTTCCTGTTGTGTTGACCCTGGCTCATGGCGACCTCCCTGCATTAGAACTACCCCATAGGGTTTTCTTGGCTGTAATCTCTAAGGAAGCACATCGCCAGGCCTTTCTTCTGTGGCAC